GTATGACACTGAATTTAGCAGTCAAAATCAACATGTGTAATTCAGTATCATCTGTAATTAACATAACTCTAAGATTCGGGTAGCATTACCTTTTGACATAAACCCTGTAGAAGCACTTTCATATTTATAAGACATCCTCATGGATCATCTACAGATAGCAAGAGGTAGAAATAGTTTATATGCCCTTCAGTGTGAAGAGACACTGTGGTAACAGCCACTTCTGATATACAGATAGTTATAAAAAAGGGGAAAGCCACAGAAGATTGTATTAGAAAGGAAAACCAAAGAAATAGATACACATGCAACACACATGCACATGAAACAGCACTTAATTCTCTTTCTGTGTGGCTTGGAATAAAAGGAGAATTGAGAAAGACTTCAGCTCTACTTGCAAGGTAAGAACTTGGTAGTGTCCTGCTTTCATTTCTATTGCTATGATAAAATGTTCCATATAAAAAGCGACCAAGGGGAGAACTGGTTTCTTTAAGGTCACAACTCTGGGTTATAGTCCATTATCGTCCACTACAGGGTAGTAAAGGCAGGGACCTGAAGCAACTAGTCACATCCATAGTAAAGAGCAGAGAGAATAAATGAACACCTAGTCCTCAACTCATTTTCTCTGCTCTTATAGACTCTAGTGTTCCGAACTGGGGAATGGTACCCTCCACTCTCAGGCTAGGGCTTCCAGATCAGTGAAAAAATCATCCAGACAATCCGCCACAAGCAACCTACAAGCCAACCCTATGTAAACAATACTACATGAAATTCTCTTCCCAGGTGATTTTAGGTTGCATCAAGTTGTGAAACTAATCATGACAACTAGTAATATATTAATAACTCCAAATTAGGCAAACTTATAAAAGCAATTATACTATAAAGACACTGGCTTTAAATACATGTGGGGGCAAATCTTACCTGTGTAAAAAGCTTTCTTTTGCTAGCTGAATTTGTAGTGTTCCACCTTTCCATTTTGTTTTGTTTAAAATAGACATACCTATAAAGAATTGCCAAAGTTCATTGCAATGCAAAATTTTCCTTAATTACTTAGGAAAAATAGGCTTATTTGTCACAAAGAACACCTACAATGTATAAGAAAAAGAGAAGCAGAGAGAACCTAGGCTTCCTGTCTAAGTCTGATCAGTTAGCAGTTTTCTCCCCCTGTTAAAAAAAGATCCATTTTTATGTCATGCATGATATTACATGTGTGTGTGCACGTGTGAATACCCATGAAGGTCAAAGGAGAGCCTCAGATCTCCTGGACCTGGAGTCACAGGTGACTGTAAGCCACCCATGTGGGTGCTAGGAAGTGAGCTTGGGTCCTCTGCAACAGCAGCAAACATTCGTAACTATTGAGTCATTCCTTCTCATTTCAGGAACGTCTACTGAATAGCTATTTATTTGCTATTTCATTATTTTCCACGCCGCAAATAAACAATGAAATTTTTTCAAGGTGAATTAGGGCATTTTAACCTTTCACGTCATCCAGTAATTACCACAAAGCATACACACATTAGCTAGTGATTGAACTGTGCTTCAATTGTTGTGCCCAACTAGCTGATTTTTCTAATATCCACTATCAGCTTTCTTAATGTAACCACTAACAAAACTTTCCATGCAGTAGATATTCACTATGTACAAATGTGTGTACTATTTAATCCTTACAGTAACATTATCAGGTAAGGCCCTGTATCTTTTCATTTACTGGACTTACAAGTTTACGTAAACTACCTTACATACACCCCACCAAAAATAACCCTTTTTGCAAATGTAATTGTAAAAGACTGATTATTTTCTCCCAATGGCACACTCCTTTTACTTGCTTTCAGGGCCTTCTTTTTTTGACTTCCAAGAAATTAGAACACATTAACTGCCTGAATAGAATAAATAATCTCCCACATTTTAATCACTGAAAGCTAATATTTACCCTTATCTTTACTAATTTCATGATAAGAGACATCACAGTTTCAAATATACGGTCTGACAAGGGCATATTCTAATGTCGTTTTATAATAGGTTTTAAAGACAAAGAATTAGCTGCCCAAGAAAAGAATGGACTTAGGAGAAGTGTGGCCATCTGTTCAGTGGGATAAGTTTAATAAGCAATTTCTATGGAAGTTTAGTTCTTTGTTCAAATTATTTGAAAATACTAGTTTCTGAGCAAACATACCAGCATGTGATACTAGGTCTTCTGACACTAACTCAATGAATTGAAACATGACATGTAGGGCCTCAGAATTCTCTTACTTATGGTTGTCGATCTACACAACTCTTAAGTGACTAGTGAGGCTTACATATGAACCAAAGACACTTCAGTTACACAACCACACCGACAAATAGAATAAAAAGTACATGATGATCTTACATTTTTTCAGGTCTGCTTCTGTTATTTTTATGTTAACATATGCAAAGACTTTCTGTGAGTTTCCTGGAAAAAAAATTGACTGATTTAAAATCTTATCCAGAGGACAATGTAAATCTCAGTAACTTTTGTTTGTGTTTTGTTTTTAATGAGATGACTAGCTGGCCTTGAACTCAGATATCTGCATGCCTCAGCCTCCTGATTTCTAGGATCAAAGGTGTGCACTACCACACATGGCCTTAAAAAGCTTTCCAAGTTTAAAAAGTGAGTTCATAAATACTTAGTTTTTGAAAGAAAAATATTTTTTGCCACACCGGATCAAAGACTGAATTTTTACATGTACAAAGTTGACAGAGGATGTCCTTCTGTATATATATTTCTCTTATTGGTTGATGAATAAAACACTTTGGCCTACAGAGGCAGGGAGATAGGCAGGACTAAGAGACAAGAATTCTGGGAGAGGTAGGCAGAGAGGGCGTGAAGGGAGATGCCATGGAGGAACTAATAGGATAGGACGCATCAGGCATTCTCCTGTAGGATAAGGCCATGTAGGAATACATGGATTAGTAATTATGGGATAATAATTAAGACAGAGCTAGCCAGTAAGAAGCCCTAGCCATCAGCCAACAGTTTAATATAGCATCTGTGTGTGTTCATTTGGGGCTGAAGCCGTGGTACCTGGTAGGACAAGAGAACCACAAGCAACACAAAATATTTCAAAATAAAATGAGTAAGAAGAAAAAAAAAGAACCCTCAAGTAATCAGTTAAGACACACCTTGATTGTATGTTAGTGACATTCTACTCAACAAGGTACAAAATGTTGAGTCCTAAAATTGAAAGTAAAGATGGTTTGGAAATTCAAATGTCTTATAATATTTCTGTTTTCAAAATTAACTTTCATATGCAAACCCCCCAGGACACCAAATAGCATTTTCAATATTTAGCACTAATATTCAGCTCCACAGCTGCTTTCTTCTTTAATACCTGCCCTGAGTTGATACATAGCCAGTTAACGGTTATAGATTTACCTTGGTCATCTTTCCGAGAGATGATCTCCACATCAGAAACTTCTCCAAATCTGCTGAATTGATTTTGCAGGTCTGTCTCAGAAATGCCTTGTCCAAGGCCACCCACAAAAAGGCGCTTCATTTCTCTGTTGGGCTTCATGAATGCTGAGCATCTATCTGGAAAAGTAATTTTGTGTAGAAAAAACACTTAATAGGACCTCTGGAAGAGCAGCCAATGCTTTGATCCCATGAGCCACCTCTCCAGTCCCAGCCTTTCATTCTCTTATTCACAGTATTGGGTGTCCTGTTCCTTCCCTCACGCACCCCAACCCCGCCCCCATTTTTTTTTTAAGTTTTCGGAGACAGGGTTTCTCACTCTGTAGACCAGGTTGGCCTCTACTCAGAAAGAAAAAATCCTGCCTCTGCCGTCCTGGGATTAAAGGCCTGGGTCACCACTGCCTCGCTGTACATTCATTTTTACTTTAACGGACACTGACAAAATAGTAAGCTAAAGGTTAAAAATACCTCCATAGTCAGAGATAAAGTCTGCAACTACAACAGTATGGCATAATGCAAACGTTCAGGCACGAAGAGGGCAACTAATGTCATACTAAAACATTTTTTTTTCCCACTGTGCAGCCTGAATGGCACACAGCACTTTGCGTGATTCTCATCGTTCAGGGCTGGTCAGGAGAGGTTAAGACGTCTCCCAATGCCACTTAGAAAACGCCAGGGGTGTTTCCATGATCAGGTCTAATTTCGGCACGGGGCACTGTTAACACTATACTACCAAGGGTGCTGGTTTACGAGAAGTCCCTCCACCTCGCTTAGCTCTCAGCAGATGCTCAGCTCTTTCAAACCTTCCTCAAAAGCCGGCTGACTCCTTCCAAGCGAGATCACAAAGCGGCCGGCAGGAGGGCGAGGCCAGGACCAGCGGTGTGGGAGAGAGCCGGTGTACCACTTCTTGGCAGCCTCCGCCCGATCCTCCGAGAAGTCCCAGGTTAGGAGAGAGGTTAGGCCCCACAACCCACCACTTCCCACACGCACACTCCTCAGGACGCTGCCTGTCAGCACTAACTCCGTGTAGCCCGCAGCGTCTAATCACACGTGCCAGCAGGCGCACTCTCTTTTCTTTCCTACAGGGTTTCCAACCCAGTCTCCTTAAGGTTCCGTTTCCACGCAGTTCCCGAGGGTTATTTATTTTTCCTGCCTTCGTTCTGACTAACGTTCCTCTACCTCGTCTCCCACGTCTGTAAAAGAGCCGAGGAAAAAAATTCCGTAATTCCTACAGAAAAGACGTGCCGCCACGTGACTGTCGACTTCCGGGCCAAATAGGAGGAAGTGGGGAAGCGGAACAAAAATAAAGAGACTCTCTCCCTCGTGCTTCCCGAGACCGCCCCCTCGGTGACGTCCGTGTTCGCGCAGCTCAAAGGCAGTTGGAGGGGGGGGTGAGGCCGTTGGGGCTTGAGGTTTCATTTGGAACGAACCAACTCTCAGGAGCATCGGGCGTCGCAACGCTCTGGGGGACCTAAGGGTCTAGAATGTTGTTGGGGTAGTGGGGAGGGGGGCGGACACGCGTCGCCAGGAATGGTCTGCGCCGGGAGGCAGCCTCTCCCCCCGAGCTCCGGAATGGTCCGCGCCGGGAGGCAGCCTCTCCCGCCCGAGCTCCGGAATGGTCCGCGCCGGGAGCCCGCGCGCGGCTTGAAACGCCGGGCGAGCCAGGCGCTGCTGTGACAGAGCTGTGGGCGGCAGCCTTCGCTACAGTGCTGGACGCGGCGTGCCATGGACCCTGAGACCCGCGAACTGCGCGCCTTGGAGGCGGAGGTCGCGGCGCTGCAGCGGGAGTGCAGTATGCTGCCAAGGCCCTGGGAGAAGACGTCCGGAGCCCGGTACGTGGCTCCTGTCCACCCCTCCGGCCCACGCATGGTAGCGCCCGGAGGACCTACCAAGCTCCTGACAGCTCGGGGCTCCCACTCCCTGCACGCCGAGTACTGAACAGTGTAAAGGGAGACCTCCCCAAATGTGAACTTGAATCTGCAATCAGTACGACCTGAGAGTGTGAGCACTGCGTTTGCCGCTCAAGGGCTTGACTATACTCAACAGAAAATAATTTCTTAAGGGTTTTGCCCGGTTGATGAAAATCAATGAGGACGTCTTGCATTTCTTTAAGCAATATCACCGTCGGGAAACCGTGTAGTTGTGCTATTTTTATAGCTGGGTGTTTGTTTGTTTGCTTGTTGAGACAGGGTGTCTCTGTAGCTTTGGAGCCTCTCCTGGCCTCGAACTCAGAGATTCTCCTGCCTCTGCCTCCGGAGTGCTGGGATTAAAGGCGTGCACCACCACCGCCTGACTTTATTTATTTATTTATTTATTTATTTATTTATTTATTTATTTATAGTTTTGGAGACGTTCTTACTTGGTCAGGAATTCACTCAACTTCACGTCTAACTGCTGGTGGTGGTGGTATAGTGAATGACAGAAATGACATCTGAAATGTAGCTTAGACGAAATAAATCGATACATGGTTAATGCCGTCTATAATGAAAGAGTGACAGTACTCTGTTGTTAACCCCTATTTAAAGGTAATGAACCTGAGTATCGGAGAGCTAAATAGCTTGCCTAAGGTCCTAGAAAAATCCAGGTGGAAGCATTTTCCTCAATTCAAAGAGATGAAAGAAGGAAGGCTGGAACTAACAGTAACTTAGTATCCTAAGCATGAAAACAAACTGCCTTTATTCTATTAGGTATAATTTGGAACAGTTGCAGAGAATGAGGTTTTGCCGTGCTGATAAGACCTTTGGAGTGCAGGAAAATGTGGAGAGGTCCTTAAAAAATCAAATGGGAGAAAGTTGTAACTGACAAAAGAGAAATGTGCACTGGCCTATTTACGCTCTCCCGCAAGCAAGAATGAGACCCACATGTTGGGAGCATTGGGATTACCTGTGAGTTGGTGATGCAGCCAGGCTGACTCCATCTCCACTTTCCGCATTAGAGTTTGCATTTATCAAGACAGCCTGTCCCTACACCCTTTGTATGCATGCTTTATCCCTGGCATCGAATGGACTTTGGGTGCCCATTCCACATGGAGGGATGCTCTCTCAGCCTGGACACATGGGGGACGACATAGGCCCTGACCTGGATGATATGACAGACTCTAGGGGTTTCTGCCCTCCCTGGAGAGTAGAGCGGGGATGGGGGGGGTGGCGGCGATGGGGGAGGAGGGGAGGTAGAGGGAGCTGGGATTGACATGTGAAGCAAGCTTTTTCTAATTTAAATAAAAAAGTTTGAGAAGTAGTCGTACACACCTTTAGTTCCAGCACTCAGGAAGCAGAGGCAGGCAGATCTCTGAGTTTGAGGCTACCCTGGTCTAAGAGTGAGTTCCAGGAGAGCCAGGGCCATTAAACAGAGAAACCCTTTCTCAAAAAAACAAACCAAAACAAAAAAGTCTGAGAAGCACTATGTCATGTCATAGGGAAAAACAGTTTCTTTCCTCACCACAAGATGTCATTATAAGCCAAGTATGATATAGTAGATTATTTATGTAGAATTCTCAGTAATGGAGTTAAAAGTTAGAATTTAGATTAGGAAGGACATTAAATGTCAGTGTGTGGATTTAATGTGAAATTTTTCTCATTATGGTGAAGGAAGATTGAGACTTGTGTACCAAGCTACTTAATTTTTTAAATTATTTTCTTTTTTTGTTTGTTTGTTTTTGGTTTTTCCAGACAGGGTTTCTCTGTGGCTTTGGAGGCTGTCCTGGAACTAGCTCTTGTAGACCAGGCTGGTCTCGAACTCACGGAGATCCGCCTGCCTCTACCTCCTGAGTGCTGAGATTAAAGGCATGCACCACCACTGCCCGGCTAATTTTTTTAAATTATTATTGCATGTGTGCTGTTTGTGAATATATACAACACCTTCAAGTGTCAATTCCCTCCTTCCAATGGGGATAAAATTCCAGTGTCCGTGCAACAGGTACTTTAAGTGCAGAGCCATCTTGCCAATCCTCCAAGATACTTTTAAAGTGACCTTAATGGTTGCCTGAATTGGACCAGAGCTGTTTAATTATATCCATGTGTCCACACACTCTGATTCTAAAGTTGCACGCCTTCAAATCCTGGCTTTGCTCTTGGCTCAGTGATTTGATTTGGTAAGCTCCTCCTCCTTCAGGCTTTTTCTTGATAAAATTTCCTTTACCTAATTGCTTCCACTACTATATTGACTAGAAATAATAAAATAATGAGGTATATTCCTTCCCTTTAATTTTTTTTGTGAGCATGCAAAGTAGTTAATTTCACCATGGCATCTTCATTCATTCATGTATATATGTATGTATATATATATACATATATATATATTATCCTTTATTCCCATCCATTCTCTTTCACCATCCCCCAAAGCTGGTTCTTTCTCCCTTTTATAGGTCCCACCTTCTGCTTCTCCACACACACACTGCATTACCATATTTATTCCTCCTGAACTCCTTAAAGACTTCTTCCCTTCTTATGATCGTCTTTTCTAGTTTCATAACTCATGCTCACATATGAACACACACACACACACACACACGGAGCAGGGAGAACTAGAACTTTAAATCTGGGTGAGAGAAAACAAGTAGCATTTGTCTTTTTAGCTTATTTCATTTAATATGATTTCCTGTTACCTCCATTTTCCTGAATTTCTGAAGTGTTTCCCTCTCCCTCTCCCCCATCCCCTGTTGAGTAGAGTCTACTTTTTTTTCTTACCATGACATTCTCTTTCACCAAGTCATACAGAGGCATCTGTAGGCCACCGTTTTACCTGGAACTCCCTAAGCTCAAAAAGCTTCAGAATGTCCCTGCTCTGGCTGCATGTATGTCTCTGTGCCTAATGCCCACTAGAGGCCAGAAGGGTGTGAGAGCCCCTGGAACTGTAGTTACAGACTTGTAAGCCACTATGTGGGTGCTGAAGTCAAAATTGGGTACTCTGGAAAAACTGATCTCTCCAAGCCCCAACTTCAGTACTAGAGAGAACCTAGGGGTAAGTTTGTATAGAAAGTAAAACACTAGTTGTCAAGTAACTATTTCTGATATTTGCTTTTCAGAAAATCATTTCAAAAATTTCCCCAGTCAGATTCTGAGGGATGGGAATCCTTGGAAGACCTGAAAAGTCAGCTTGGACATTTAAAATCTGAACTTTCATTTCTAAGTAAACTTACTGGCATCAATATAAGAAATTATTCCAAGATTGAGGACATTACAAACAGTGAAGTGACAGAAAACGGTAAGTATTGTTTTTTAACCTGGATGTGATTTTTAGAATTTTGAGTGTGTGTTGGGGCAGGGTACACATGTCACAGTGTGCTTGTGGAGAGCATGGACAACTTTCAGGACAACCTGTTGAGGCAAAGCCTGCCTTTAGCTTCTGCATCCCACATCCAGGCTAGCTGGCCCCACAACTCTCAGTCCTTCCCCCAACTCCTTGCAGATTTCTTCCTCCTTTTTATCATGTATATTCCAAGTATCCTTTTGCTTACAAGGCAAAAGCTCTACCAATTGAGCTAACCCTAGCCCTGTCCTTACCCTTTACTTAAAAAAAATTTAGTCTGTTCAAATTTAAAAAGTACTGAAATTAGGGTGCTTTGAGAGAAGGTGTCAATTTGCTGTGAATGGCTCAATCTGAAGCAAATTACTTACCGAGATGATTTTCACTAAAAGAAATCTTTTCATCTTACAATGCCTTTTATTTCTTTTAATAATTATACACTTGGATGATAATTATTAAGTGACTATTTTACATGCTGCTTTCTACATTACACAATGGCATGACACACATATTAAAATGAGATGTGGTATGAATGCATTTGGGGGAATAAATATTCAAAGGAGCCGGCCGGTGGTGGTGCATGCCTTTAATCCCAGCACTCTGGAGGCAGAGGCAGGCGGATCTCTGTGAGTTCGAGGCCGGGCTGGACCGATAGCCTCCAAAACAATACAGAGAAACCCTGTCTCGTAAAAACCAAAAAATATATATATATATATACATACACACACACGTATTCAAAGGAAAGAGACTAGGAGAAAATGTTAGTTTTTTAATAAAACAATTTTCTTTGGGTGGAGGCATGTAGTTTTTTTTTCCTTTTGTACTCCAATGTATTCCCAATTTTCTAAAAAACATAAAATAAATAAACTTTATTACTCCAATGAAAACAATTAGTCTATTCAAATTTTACAAATACTTAAAGTTTATTATAGAGTGTATATATGTAATCTATATTTGTATTGTATACTTTCATGATACAAAAAGCAAAATTTAGACTTAACTCACAGTATTTATGTGAGCCTGAGCATCTTGTCTGCAAAATAAAGTGATCTATGTTATATCTTAAGATTCCATTCAAGCTTTATCTTCACCACATTTTGGCCCTCGTTACTTTTTAAAAATTTCATTTATGTATTTAGTGTGTCCTATGTGTGGGTACACATACCAGAGTACTTGCATCAAAGTCAGAGGACAAATTGAGTTGAAGGAGTTAGTTCTTTCCTTCTATTGTGTGGGTCCACATATCAAAGCTGGGTTGTTGAGCATGTGCCAAGTAATTTGATCCCCTAAGGTGGTCCTTTGACTTTTTTTTTTAAGGGAAAAGCCCAAGATCACCTGGATTATGCTCTATGAATTATGTAATTTTGGTTTTTTGTTTTAGCTTTTATTTTTAATAAAGGTTTATTTATTTATTATGTATACAGTGTTCTGTCTGCATATATGCTTCCAGGCCAGAAGAGGGCACCAGATCTCATTATAGATGGTTGTGAGCCACCATGTGGTAGCTGGGAATTGAACTCAGGACCTCTTGAAGAGTGGTCAGTGCTCTTAACCTCCAGCCCTTGTAATTTTGTTTTTATTGTGTATGTTTGTGATCTGTTTTAAATTTTTATAAAAGTCAGTGTTTAGATTTATTTTTTTTTACATTCAGATGTTCAACATTTTTCAACTAAAGTAGCCTTTCTCCACTGACTTTTTAATCAAAAATAATTTTACTATATTTATGAGTTCATTTCTTGGCTATTTTGTCCATTTGATTTATTTGTTTATGCTTTTGCTCATACTACATTTCTGGGTTATAATAGCTTGATAGTAAGTTTCAAAATGGGATATTCTTTCTCCTTCCCTCTGAGTCTTGCTCTGTCCCCCCACTCCTTTTGCTTCTTGTGCTTTATAGTGTATCTTGAACTCCTAGTACACTACCTCAGCCTTCCAAGTTCCGGGGTTGCAGGCTTGCACTGCCACAACCAGCATCTGCGTTTATCACTACCCATAGAATAAGTTGTTGCTATCAACTCACAGTGGCTTTCTGGTATTCTGTTACATAATGGACTTGCTTCTTTGTTTTATTTGTTTGTTTGTTTTTAATTGCATTAGGTTTCAGTTCTAGATCTTCCAGGTCTGTGCACTACCTAATTCATGCATCTGGTTTCCAGCTTCCAGAATGAAATTGCTTCTTTCTTTCCTGGTCTCTTTATCTTTGTAGTAGTATTGTGTTCTCCTAGAAAGAACTTACTTAGTAAAGCTACATACCTAATGTAGTCAGGATAATTCTGTGGTAGAAGATATGGGAAACTTAGACAATACAATAAAATTGGGACATCTAGACTTGGGTGCTGGTTACATGAGTAAACTTATGTAAAAATGATTGAGGTGTCAAGAGTATTGCATTTTAAGCATTTAAATTATGCTTACAATATTTAAAACATACCATTTGTTCTCATTTTTGTACCAGGCTTTTTCTTTTGGGCCACCAACCAGCTCCCAAATGATGACATGGAGACTTATTAGTTTTGAATGCTTGGCCTACACTTAGGCTCATTTCTAACCAGCTCTTTGAACTTAACCTGTTTCTCTTCACCTATGTTTTGCCTTTGGAATTTTTTACCTATTCTTTCTGTATGTCTTATTCTGTCTAGCTGGTTAGCAGTTACCTGATTGGCTGGCCCTATATATCTCCCTGTCTCTGTCCCTCATTTTCTCCTCCTCCTCTTCCCTCGTTTGCCTATTCATTCTTTCTGCCTGCCAGCCTCAACTATCCCTTTTCTGCCTAGCCATTGGTCATTGAGCTTTTTATTAGACCATTCAGGTGCCTTAGGCAAGCAAGGTGAAACAGCACCACATCTTTTCATAATTAAACAAATACAGCACATCCTTACATTGTTAAACAAATGTAACACACCTTTATATAGTTAAAGTAATATTCCACAGCACAAACAAATACAACACATCTTTACCAAGTTAAATATTCCACAACACATTTTAGTGGGCTTTGTTGTTGTTTTGTTTTGTTTTTAAGATGGTATCTCTCTATGTAACCCTGGCTTAAGTTTGGAACACATAGTGATCCCTTTGCCTCTGCTTCTCTATTGCTGGGATTAAAGATATGCAACACTATGCACACCTTTAGTGGACATTTGAGGGGTAAGAAAAATAAACACACAGATTTGATTTATTGTTTTTAGCTATGTCTTGAAACAACTTGGTAGTAATGTATGAGACCAGCCCCAAAGGGCTATGATACCAAAGCAAGAAAGGCATGAAGATCTAGAATTGTAGAGTACAGTTTATACTGTAGTCTGGTTCTGAGTTTTGGTAAATGCCAATTGGATCTTTGAAATGTGAGTTAGAAAGATGGATACATTAATGGGTTAGGACAAAAGTACCTTTTGTATCTTAATATTAGAGTCAGGTGAATATCAGAAACCAGAGGCCAGCTATAGGGCTCCATATATGATTATAATGGTGTTGAATATGTTTGTGGAAACTGTAGGAAAAGCCAACTGGTATTACTCTGGTACAGTTGTGGTGATTGCAGTAATGTCAAGATAAATCCATACAAACAACAAGATAATATTGAAAAAATTCAAACAGGTAGGCAAGATGGATGGCTCAGATTAAGGCTCTAACACCCACCCTAATGGTGACCAGAGTTCACTCCCTGGAACCCACATGGTGGAATAAGAGAACTGATCCCTCAAGTTGTCCTCTGATATCCACATGCATCTCACACACAGACACACAGACACACAGACACACACACACACACACACACACACACACGAAAAAATTTAAAGGCTGGATGTGGTGGTACATGCTTTTAATCCTAGTATTCTGGAGGCAGAGACAGGCAAATCTCTGTGAGTTTAAGGCCAAAATGGTTTACACATAGTGAGTTCCAGGATAGCAAGGACTGTATAGAGAGACCCTGCCTCAAAATAAATAAATAAAAAATAATGAAAATAAAATATATGATAGTTAACATGATTCAAATTTATTTAGGGTTATAGCTCTGTGTGTGTGTGTGTGTGTGCGCACGCGCATGTGTGTTCCTGTTCCTGTTTCTTAACCATTGATATACTTGAGAACTTTAAAATACACATTTTTGCCTGGCATTGGTGGTGCATGCCTTTAATCCCAGTACTCAGGAGGCAGAGGCAGACAGATCTCTGTGAGTTAGAGGCTAGCCTGGTCTACAGAGACAGTTCCAGGACAGCCTCCAAAACAATACAGAGAAACCCTATCTGGAAAAACCAAAATAAAGTAAAATACACATTTTTAGTAATTCTATTTTATAAGACCAATTTCTTTGACATGACCTTTCAGATTTTTTTAAATTAATTTATTTTATGTGCATTGGTATTTTGCTTGCATGAATGTCTTTGTGAGGATGTCATACCTTGGAGTTGCAGACAGTTGTGAGCTGCCATGTGGATCCTGGGAATTGAACTGGGGTCCTCTAAAAGAGCAGGCAGTGATCTTTACTACTGAGCCATCTCTCCAGCCCTATGATTTTAGTTTTATTTTGTTTTGTTTTTTGAGACAGGGTTTCTCTATGTAACAGCCCTGGCTGTCCTGGAACTCATTTTGTAGACCAGACTGGCTTGGAGCTCACAGAGATCCAACCTTCAGAGTGCCGAGTTCTGGGATTAAAGGTGTGCACCACCAATGCCTGGTCCTTCCAGATTTTTGTTGTTGTTGTTTTTGTTTTTTGAGACAGGATTTCTCTGTAGGTTTGGAGGCTGTCCTGGAACTTTCTTTGAAGACCAGGCACAGAGATCTGCCTGCCTCTGCCTCCCGAGTGCTGGGATTAAAGGTGTTTGCAACCACCTCCTGACTCCAGATTCTTTAAAGGGATTACTAATGTATGCTTTCATAAATCTACTCACAAGTAGATATTCACTTAAATAAGTATATGAAGAAAAGTATTCTTTTAAATAAAATATTTCATTTTCTAATTAACAGGTGCAAAGAAAATTCTACAGACACACAGATTATCAGGAAATTGCAACATGGTTACATTTGAACTGGAATTTCAGGTTCTGGAAATTGAGGTAACTTGATTTTTTTGTCCTATGAGAAACAGTTCCCACACTTAGTCACAACAGTGGTTGAGATGAGGAAGAGTGAATGACCAGGGTTCCGTTATAGCACATTTGTGTCATAAAAATTTAAGAGTACTCTCTTGTAGGTGGATTTTTCTTGGGGCTGCCAGCTCACAAAAAAATGACAGATTTATTAATTATGAAAGCTCAGCCTTAGCTTAAGCTTGTTCCTAACTAGTTCTTACAACGTAAATTAGCCCATGTCTTTTAATCTACATTCTTTTGTATGGCTCCATTACCTTTACTCTATACTGCCCATCCTGCTTCCTTAGTATCTGGTTGGCAACCTGCCTTCTTCTTCCCTGCAATCTCTCTCTACCCAAAAGTCCTTCCTTTCTCTCCTTCCTAGCTATTGGCCATTTAGATTTTTATTACACCAATCACAGCAATACATCTTCACAGTGTACCAATATTCCACAACACCCTCTCAACCGAATCTGATGAAACTGGTGCTGAGCTCAGACATGCTTTAAGCTAATGAGGAGATGGTTTTAGGCTTCCAACAAAAAAGTCTTTGAGGTTGTGGAAGCAGTTTTGCATGCTGCCAGCAGTTAGCTGATGGGCAAGCTATCATCTTTTAATTATTTATTTCTGAGTAATAAATTTCCAAACATTTGTCATGTTGAAACAACAAAAATATTACCTTATAATTTTTCTATGTGTCAGGAATGTGGGAGCAGCCCAGTTTGGTGGCATTGTGTAAGGTCTCTCAGGTAGCGGTCATCTTAGGATCATAGCCATGTTGAAAGATTCTTGAGGCAGGGTGATCCTGCAGGTTGTTCTGGACTACTAACCAACATAGGAGGACATGCCTTTGGTTTAGATTTTCTTCAAGCTAATGCCGTAGACAGGATGGTCATATGTAACCCTATGGGCTGGAATAGAACAGCTGAGGCAGAGCATACTCAACAGCCAGAGACTGCCTCTGAAAAGATTCCAATCTAGTCATAAGTTTTAGAACCATCCTACCTGGGACGTGCTTAATATTGGAAGTTACAACAAGTTGGTTTCACCATGTGGGTTTATAAGAAATTTGTACAAAGAACAGAGTCAGGAAGGACAGAAAGACTATCTTGGTCTCAGATCATCAGGTGGTTGAAGTGTGGAAAGACTGTTGTCACCTCAAGTTCTATAGACAGACTCAGACTGCACTCAAGCACTCAGTCTCAGGTGCCAGGATTTCTTATCCTAGTCAGTATCCTCAGCCACGAAACAAGCTCCAAATTGTACCTTTTTTTTTTTTAACGGGACAGTTGTCAGTGACTGAGTTAGTACCCTGTGTCTGCAAACAGAGAGACATATAATAAAAACAATTCAAGCATGAGGTTCAGCTATCAGGCTTTGAGCTTTTGCTTCTCTGTGCTGTTGATGTCATTTGTTGTAACTGGCCTGGGGCAGGCTAAGGGTGGGTTGTGGAATATCTAGTTCTCATCTAATGACAGAGTTCCCAACATTCACTCACTTCAGTATCACCCTTCAGTATTACCAATGTGACCAAGAAAACACAGTGTGGTGTTACAAATACCATTTGAACAAAATACATTTGTTGATTAAAAACTACAATTCTCATCTCAAAGGTGATACTGTAAAGTGGGGAGATCTCAACTATAGGCCTCAGATGCTATCTCGTGGCATTCTTCGCCTGTTGGCTTGGTGGAAAGCTCTAATCAGTTACTCAGGAGTAAAATGTTTCATCTCGAAGGTGTGGCTTTTTTCTGAGAACTTTGACTCACACAGCAGTTAACATTTTCACATGTCAAGTCATAATTGATGAGTGATCTTATATAAGTTATGCTGTTCCCAAATGGACACTAACCTTGGGGCTGGCTATACAGGGTCACTGAGGCAGTACTACATGACTATAATGATCTCTGTTAAAGACTGGAATGGAGCATAAGCCCAAATTGATCATTTCATCCAGATTGGATAGCCTGTTTTAAGGCCCCATGTTTTCCTTTTTGTGACCTAGGAACTCTTAGGTTTTTCCCATTGTAAATACTTATATAGTGTGATAATTGAATTTCCTTGTTTTGGGCCAATGTGATTCTCAACTCACATTGGTACTATGCCATCTTTTGTCTTGCATGATGGTATCCATTTATAGGTGCAGACTATAATCTGTGGAAAGTTTGTGGTATTGTAAGCCAGGCCCATCTTCTCTTAGGACTTCTGTAATCTAGTATGTGCACATTGTCTAGGAATTGACTATGGTATCCCATTGTTGTTGACCTTAGGGCCTTGCAGGCGTTTTTGTTCTAGGTGTTCATGTCTTTCACAGTTACTTCATGGTTTATCTGGAGAGAAGTTTTTCTGTAAACAAAACTAGGCTTATTTTCAAAAGTGTTCACAAATCCAGTTGAACACAGACTATTCTGAGTTTGATTTGAGCAAGGAGTTAAGTGGAACTGTATTTTTCAGGATGTGTTGTGTCCAAAGATTGGCTGTATTCTCATTAGTGGGGCTGGGCCCAAGAGCTGACTCAAACCACAATGTTGTAACTTCACTTAAGTTATGTACTTTTGTCACCTGATAGGCCAGTGAAAATTCAGGGCAAGAAAGCATTAGGCACAACTAATGGTTTTTGCCTTATATATTTGAAGGATATGGAAAAATATTAGAGGAAGTGTTAAAATTCTTTGAAAATCTGAATACTGCAATTGAATCTCCAAGGAGACTGTATTGTTCACATTTAAAATTACGTAGGCATTTTGATGACTACTTAGTTTTGCTAACAATGTGCTGCAGAAAACCCTGCTTTCCTTGGCTCTCTTGAGAGCACTCATTTTCTCTCTGAACCTTTTAAATTTTCTGACTCTTAAAGAAACACTGGCAAGTAAGATGTTGGAAAGAACTGAGATAGCTGTGGAACTAACAGGGCCTAGGGATCAACTATATAAAAGTTGTCAATGGTTATTGGCTTGAAAGAAAGGAGACAAAAGCCCTTTTTATTTTTCTTTGTTGCTTAGAATTCTGACAAAAAGAACTAATGAGAATTTTTTATTTCTTACTTTAGTGTTGTGTGTGTGGGGTTGGGGGTAGGTTCTTTCTATGAACCTAGTTCAGCTTGGCCTTGAAGTCATATTCATCTGCTTCAGCCTCCTGAGTACTTGGATTCCAGGCATGTGCTGCCACACTCAATGTGTAGGCAGTAAAAGCCCTCCTTATAGAATTAATAGTTTAGAGGCTGAAGGGATGGCTAAGTAGTTAAAAGCATTTGTTATTCTTGCAAAGTACTTGGCTTCGGGCCCTTATACCCACATGATGGCTCACAACTATCTAAACCTCTAGTTCCAAAGAATCTGATGCCCTCTTCTGACTTCTGAGGTACCAGGCATGCACATAGTATGCATATACATATGCAAGCAAAACATACATTTAAAATAAATCTTTTAAAAAATTAGAATTGTTAGGTCAAAGGAAATGTACACATAAATTGATTAATAAATGTGGATATCTTCTAAAATGGTTTTGCTGTTATGCTGGTTAGTTTTTGTTGTTTACTTAACACAACCGAGAGTCACCTGGGAAGAAGGAAGATTTTTGATATCATATTGGACTGTGGGGCATATCTTTGGGGGATTGCTTTAATTGATGAATGATGTGGATGACACTATCCCTAGGCAGACAGTCCTGATCTGTATAAGAAATCTATCTGAGCTGGACAAGTGTGGCACAAGCCTTTAATCCCTGCCCTTGGGAGACAGAAGCCAGTGGATCTCAGAGTTTAAGACCAGCCTGGTCTACATAGTAAATTCTAGAACAACAAGGTCTACACAGAGAAACCCTGTCTCAAAAAACAAAACAGCAGCAACAGAATCTAGCTAAGCATAAGCCAGTAAAGAACCCAATAAGCAGCATTCCTCTATGGTCTCTGCTTTCATTTCTTGCTTGAGTTCCTGCCCTGACTTCCCTGAGTATTGGACTGTGACCTGAAAGTGTAAGATAATAAATTTTTTCCATCCCATAAGTTGCTTTTGGGAATGGTGTTTATCATAGCAACAGAAAAGCAAACTAAAGCTGTGCACATTTTTTTTTTTTGCTGTGCACATTTACTGTTGAGATTGATAGAAAAAAGAGTAAAGACAAAACAGCATGTTGATTTTTTTTTCCTTTCCTAAAATCAAACATTCCACTAGAGGGAGATGTTTACCTGTCAGAAAATTAAAAGACTTAAATAATACATTTTGGTCATATTAATACTTGTTTTTGCATATTAAATATTATTAATACAGTGTTTGTCCTAGTTAGGGTTGCTGTTGCTGTGATAAAGCATCATACCAAAGCAACTTGGGGAGGAAAGCGTTTATTTGGCTTACACATTCATATCACTGTTTATCATAGAAGGAAGTCAGGACAGGAACTCAGAGTGGGAAGGAACCTGGAGGTAGGACCTGATTCGAGGCTATGGGGAGTGCTGCTTCCTGGCTTGCTCCTTATGTCTTGCTCACCCTGCTTTCATATAGAAACCAGGACTACCAGCAGAGGGATGGCACCACCCCAGTGGTCTGGGCCTTCCCACATCAATCAGTCATCAAAAAAATGCCCTGAGGCCCAATGTTAAGGAGGCATTTCCTTTTTTTTGTTTGTTTCGTGTTTTGTTGTTCTTGTTTTTGAAATAGGGTTTCTCTGTATTGCTTTGGGACCTGTTCTGGGACTTGACCTGTAGACCAGGCTGGCCTTGACCTCATAGAGATCTACCTCCCTCCTGGGATTAAATGCTTGCACCACCAATGCCCGACTTGGAGGCATTTTCTTAATTGAGGTTTCTTCCAGATGACCATATCTTCTGTCATGTTGACATAACACTAGCTAGCACAGTGCCCTTAAATTCTGTTAGCAGAATGTTAGACAAAGAGATAGGAAAATCAATGTAGAGAGTATGAGGCATTGCTTCGTTGATGCCGCTCTTGTCAAAGGTGTTTGTAACATAGAATTAATCTCCTCTAGTTGACTATGCGGTGTTATCAGCACTGCACTATTTGAGAAGTTTTCAGACCATCAGAACAAATGAGCACCCAGCATCAGTCTTCCATAGTCCTGGTAGTATAAGTCAGATGGGTAGGAGTTTGTAGGATGGTAAAGTGTGTTTATGTAACTTCTTTCCCTGAAACAAAAATACTGAAAAGTAGCTGCATTTTTAAAAATGAAGAGAATACAATTTCATCACAGGGTTTAAAGGTAGGTAATCTGATTCTTTGAATATCTGAACCCCAACGTTGAAATGCTAATATATTGTGTTTCATGATGGTGCAGATTTTCCTAAAGCAAAAGAGGTATCTCTCAGCTCAGAAAGGCTGGACCCAGGGACTAAGGTGACCACTAATCATCAACCACTAAAAGTCAACCTGAGACTGAGTTCCTTATCTCATGTCAATGACAGATAAAATTGCAGACAAAGGAGGAATAAGCAAAGTCAACGCATATTGAGACATTAAGGAAAAGTTAGAGAAGTGTCCTGAGAAAGGGGGAAGTGCTAAGCTGCATGCCTGGTGGCTTCCTGCAGGACTTATGGCAGAAACTGGACAAAGACAGACATAGTTTTTGTTGAAATTGGTTCATTCTGTAGGCATATCCTTCGGCCAAGCAAATGGGGAGACAGTGACTCTGCAAATACCTCCTGGCCCAACTGGAGATGATCACATGCTGTTTGCCCAGTTATGATGGTGATCACTCGTTGAAGCCCATATCTGTATATATTTTTTATTTAACTTTTTATGCCTGTCACTTTCAGCTCCCTCTCCCACCCCCTAATCCTCCTAACCCCTCACTCCCACTCCATCTCCCCTCTGCTCCCCAGGAAGGGCAAGGGCCTCCATGAGGGATTTTCAGAGTCTGTCACATCATCCCGGGAAGGGCCCAGGTTCTTCCCCATGTGTGCAGGCTGAGAGAGCATCCTTCCATGTGGTATGGGTTCCCAGAGCCCTTCTGTATGCCAGGAATAAATACTGCTCCACTCTCCAAGGTCCCACAGATTGCCGAGGCCTCCTCTCTGACACCCAGGTTCGGTGGGAGGGTGTCTGGATCAGTCCCACGCTAGCCCCTCAGTCTTCAGTCTGGGGTCCATGTGTTCCCACTTGTTTAGGTCAGCTGCCTCTGTGGGTTTCACCAGCTCGGTCTTTATTCCTTTGGTCATCACTCCTCTTTGCAAGTGGGTTCCAGGAGTTCAATTCGTTTCACAGTTGTGGGTGTCTGCCTCTGCCTCCGTCAGCCACTGGATGAGAGTTCTAGGATGGCATATAAGGTAGTCATCATTCTCATTATCATGGGAGGGCATTTAGGGTAGCCTTAATGCCAGTTGGTGTCATTCTTGTAGATCTGTGAAGATCTCACTAGTGCCAGATCTCTCCTCCAACCTATACTGGTTCCCTCTTTTATGGTATCTCCCATCCTTTTCTCCTCTGTTCTTGCCCTGGCTCAACCTTACTGCTTCCCCATGTCCTCCTCTCCCCTCCTCTTTTCTCCCTCCTTCTCCCTTCTCCTTCTACTCTCCCCTTCCTCCCCCCCCCCCCCAATTCAATTAGTAGATCACATCCCCTAACCCTTCTCCGGGTTATCATGCATATCTCTCTTAGGGTACTCCCTGCACCCCAGACTCTCTGGCGGTGGGATTGTGGGCTGGCAATGCCCTGATTCATGTCTAAAATCCATACTTGAGTGAGTACATACCATGCTTGTCTTTTTGTGACTGGGTTACCTCACTCAGGATGGTTTCTTCCAGTGCCATCCATTTGCCTGTAAATTTCAAGATTCCATTTTTTTTTCTGTTCAGTACTTCATTGTGTAAATGTACCACATTTTCTCTGTCCACTCTTCAGTTGAGGGGGATCTAGGTTGCTTCCAGGTTCTGGCTATTACAAATAATGCTGCTATGAACATAGTTGAGCAGATGTCCTTATTGTATGAGGGTACATCTTTTGGATATATGCCTAAGAGTGGGATTGCTGGGTCTTGTGGTAGACTGATTTCCATTTTTCTGAGGAATCTCCACACTGATCTTCAAAGTGGCTGCACAAGTTGGCATTCCCACCAGCAGTGGAGGAGTGTACCCCTTTCGCCACATCTTCTCCAGCATAAACTGTCATTAGTGTTTTTGATTTTAGCCATTCTGACAGGAGTGAGATGGTATCTCAGAGTTGTTTTGATTTGCATTTCCCTAATGGCTAAAGATGTTGAGCACTTTCTCAAGTGTCTCTTGGCCATTTTGGACTCCTTTATTGAGAATTCTCTGTTTAGTTCTGTACCCCATTTTTTAATTGTATCCTTTGGTGTTCTGGAGACTTGCTTCTTGAGTTCTTTGTAAATTTTGGGGATCAGCCCTCTGTCAGATGTAGGGTTGGTGAATATCTTTTCCCATTGTGTGGGCTGTCATTTTGTCTTGTTGACTTGTCCTTTGCCCTGCAGAAGCTCCTCAGTTTCAGGAGGTCCCATTTATTAATTGTTGATCTCAGTGTCTGTGCTACTGGTGTTATGTTCAGGAAGCGGTCTCCTGTACCAATTCATTCAAGGGTACTTCCTACTTTCTCCTCTAAGAGATTCAGTGGGGCTGAATTGATGTTGAGGTCTTTGATCCATTTGGACTTAAACAAGTGCTGTTAACCACTGATCCATTGCTCTAACTCCCTTTAATTTTAACAAAAAAATTAAAGTATAAGTTTCATTGAGATAAACCTTTTATTTCCTTTTCTTTTTTAGCCCTAATAAAACACTAATTTTTAAATTTATTTTCCCACTTTGAATATTTCATAGAAATAGAAGCTTGTGCCTGGTTTCCTTTATTTATCATGTTTTCAAGACTCTTCCTTGTTATAGCATGTGTTGGTACATTTTGGAGTTAAATAATGTACCTTGTGTGGATATACTACATTTTGTCCTTTTCAGCACCTGATGAAGTTGTTTTCACTTTTGGTTGTTATGACTAATGCTGTCATAGACGCTCATGCAAAGGTTTTAAGTGGATATATGGATTTGATTGGCTGTATTACTAGAAATGCAATTACTAGATTACATGGCACTGCTAGATAATGACTGGTATGTCCATCCCTTCCTCTGTGATTACTGCCTATTTGTTTTTTTCCCCTTTGGTAATACTTTTTCAGTTTCTATGCTCAAACTCACATAGGTAAGAACTTATATATTTAGTACAATGCATTAACCCTATACAAATGGGAAAATTAAATTTAACATTTCCAGACCAATATGGCTATTAATTTCTGTACAGTATCAACTCAACATGGCAAACTGAGATACCTTTTTTCAAAGTTGACAACTCAGCTAAAATTTACCAAAATCCATATTGTACATATGTGTGTATGTATGTGTATGTAAAGAACAATAATACCAGTGTGTTATTCATCAATATACTGCCTCTTTGTATATTGTCTTTGGAGAAATACCTATTCAAATACTTTGTCCATTTTTTTAAAATTTATTTTATTATGTATGCAGTGACCTAAGTGCATGTATGCCCACATGCCAGAAAAGGGCACCAGATCTCATTACAGGTGGTTGTTAGCCACCATGTTGTTGCTGGGAATTGAACTCAGAACCTCTGGAAGGGCAGTCATCAATGCTCTTAACCACTGAGCCATCCCTCCAGCCCTCCTTTGTCCATTTTAAGATTACGTTGTCTTTTTAAAATTTGAGTTGTAAGAATGTCTCTGGAGCATCACTAAGTGCTAATGCACACCTCTAATTCCAGCTCTCAGAACCAGGGGCATTTGACTTTTTGTGAGTTCAAGGCCAGCCTGGTCTATATAGTGAGTCCCAGGACAGCCAGGACTATGTTAAGAGACCCTGTCTCAAACAAACAAATAAACAAAAAAGGATGTCTGAAATTGTTTTCATTAGTGGTGAAATTGGTTCTGGCTTTTGGTAATAAAATATCACCAATATCTTTAGTAATAAGACTTTCTCTTAATTTATTTTACTTTAGTGTAGAGTCTTATAAGAATCTAAAGTGTAAGAATGAAGTAAATGAATATTTAGGCAATTCATTGTTAGAATGATTTCCAGAAAGTCCAATTTCTATTCCTGGTGCCAGGTTTACGTGTTTTTACCTGTGGCAACCCCTGCCCTAGACTAGGGCCTAGCACATACTAGGCCGCAGGTTCCTGGCAGTAACATTTATAAATTTTTGTTCAGTTAAAATGTCACTTATTTTTAATTTACATTTATCTACTACTAGTGAAATCTTAACTTTCTAACTGTAGTAATTTGTTTTATGTCTTTTAGTTTATGACTATTTTCTTTTTAGTTTTTCTCTTCTTTTCATCATACTTATGTTAAACATTTTCTTCAGTTCATAGCAATTTTCATAAAATGATTTTTATTTAGATATTTTGAGTTTTTATATAATCACATTTGCTAGTTTTTTCCTATTGTTTGCTTAGAAAGTTGTTTTTTATTCATTCCTCCTAATTTTTATGATTTCAATATTCAATTTATATAATTAATTTGGAAATCATTTTACGCTTTAGTAAGTACTGAGTATATAATTTAATTTACTCAACAAATAGCCAGTATCTTACCATTTTTGTCAATTTTCTACTTGCATATTTAAAGTATTTTTGTCTAGTTTAAAAGATAGTCTGCTCTTCTACATAAACTTTTCATCTTTATTTTAGACTAAAGAGAAATTTTCTTCTGTTATAACTGACCTCAACATAATAATGGAACCCACAGAATATTCAGAACTAAGTGAATTCGCATCTAGGTAAGCTGTGTTACAAATTTAATTGCTCTATGGTTGAATTTTGCTCCACAGGTTTTAAATTTTTCTTTATAATTTTTTGTTTTCTGTTTTTAATATATATTTACATATTTTTCTTTTTAAAAATTTTATGTGTATGGGTGCTTTGCCTGAATGTATGTTTGTATACCATGTATGTGCAGTGTCTGTGGAGGCCAGAAAAGTTCACTATATATGTATGCTGTTGACCTTTTTTTTTTTGGTTTTTCGAGACAGGATTTGTTTTGGAGGCTGTCCTGGAACTTGCTCTGTAGACCAGGCTGGCCTCGAACTCACAGAGATCCTCCTGCCTCTGCCTCCCGTGTGCTGGGATTAAAGGTGTGTGCCACCAACCCCTGGCTGATTTGGGATTATTACTATTTTAAGATATATTTTAATTAATTTTATTATGTGGATGTGTGTGCACATGCGTTCAGGTACCCTCAGAGACCAGGAGCAATCACTCAGGGTATTTTTATTTAATTCCATTGATTTTCCTGCAAATTTCATAATGTCATTGTTTTTGTTTTTTACAGTTGAGTAATACTCCATTGTGTAAATGTACCAAATTTTCTTTACCCACTCTTCAGTTGAGGGGCATCTAGGTTGTTTCCAAGTTCTGGCTATTACAAATAATGCTGCTATGAATATTGTTAAACAAGTGTCCTGGTGCTAGGGAAATTACCAAGAATCCAGAAGGATGACCTCAGCTAAGACTCCTAGCAATAGTAGAGAGGGTGCTGGAACTTGCCTTCCTCTGTAATCAGATTGGTGAATACTACAACTGTCATCATAGAGCCTTCATCCAGTAATTGATGGAACCAGATGCAGGGATGCACACCAAGCACCAGGCTGAGTTCCATGAATCCAGTCAAAGAGAGGGAAGAGGGAATATGTGAGCAAGGGAGGTCAAGATCATGATGGAGAAATCTACAGAGACAGCTGAAGCAAGTTCGTGGAAACTCATCAACTCTGGATTGACAGCTGTGGATCCTCCATGGGCAAGAACTAGGCCCTCTGTATGAGGGAGACAGTTGTGAAGCTGAGGGGCTCCTAGCAGTAGGACCAGGGATCTCTGGTGCATGAGCTAGCTTGTTGGAGCCCATTCCCTATGGTGGATTGCCATGCTCTGCCTTAATGCAAGGCAGAGAGGCTTGGTCCTGGCCCAACTTAATGTGCCAGACTTTGTGGACTCCCATGGGAGCCCTTACAGGTTGAGAAGAGTCAATGGGAGGAGGGTAGACTGGGGGGGAGGTGAAAGGGGATGGGAGGGAGATCTTTGGTTAGAATATAAAATGAAATTTAAAAAATAACAATAATTTAAAAAGATTTATATACTTCAAACAGAGTATAGAGGACACAAAAGGTATCAGTCCCCAAAGCAAATAAAAGCCCAGGTGCTAACACCCCAGAATCAAAGCTACAAAGCTCTGTGCGAACTCCCTCTACATAAGCTGTGTTAGAAGTGTGTTTGTTTCATTTCCCTGATTGTTGACAGTGTGTCTTTACATGTTGCTGTCCATTTATCTTCTTTGAAGCTTCATTCCCTGTTTTTTTTAATTATCTGATTTAGTTGTTTTTTTTTCTCACCATTCCTTTGAAAATTTTTTTATATGTTCTGAAAACAGACACTTCTTTGTAATTGTATTTTCCCAGACACGTCTCCCATTTTGTACTTTGTCTTTTTGTTTTCTCAGCATGTTTTCAAAACATTAAAAATTTTTTAAATATTTTATTTGTTTCTTGTGTATACAGTCTTCTGCCTGCATGCTGGCAGAGGGCTCCAGATCTCATTCAAGGTGGTTGTGAGCCACCATGTGGTTGCTGGGAATTGAACTCAGGACCTCTGGAAGAACAGTCAGTGCTCTTAACCGCTGAGCCATCTCTCCAGCCCCACATTTTAAAATTTTTGATGAATAACTTTTCCTTTTGTTTTTGAATGAATCATGTTATATGATGCTGTACCCCATATATGAGGGAAAAGTGGACTAAAGCAAAACCAGAATCCTGAAACTCTCCGTGTCTTCTGTCCAACATTCTCCAGATCTCCAACTCCTTCCAGCTTTGTTGACTGCAGCACAGTTCTGTCCCTTGGTCTTGTTCCACTCCATTAGCTGCATTCCTTGGCAGCTATCCCATGGCCTTGTCATCTCCAACATCTGGGGTGGTTAAGGCAGCCTAGGCTTCACCTTCACAGCTTAAGGCTACGCCCTCTCTGGGACATGGCAGACACAAGCCTGGCCTCAGCAGCTTTCCTTAGTCACGGAGGGAGATTCCATAAACCCTTTCTCCTATCCTTGATTCTAAAGCTAGAACCACGAGATTGAAACTGCCACATTTTGCTGCTTGCTGGGGCTGAACATGGCCCTTTCTTTAAATTATATCTTCACCAGTTTTCTGTCCTTCACTGCCTAAGCTTGGCTGTCCTGAAACTTGGTCTGCAGACCGCGCTGGCCTCAAATACAGAGCTCTGCTAACCTCTGCCTTCTGGGTACTGGAATTAAAGGCATACACCATTATTCCTGGACCTAATGTGTTCTTTAGTTCCTTTTCACAAGTTGGAAGTTTAGCTGGGTGGGGTCTTGCCCTGAGGTCATCACTCCCTTTATTTCATTTCCTTTTTTTTTTTTTTTTTTTTTTTTTTTTTGATTTTCGAGACAGGGTTTCTCTGTATTGTTTTGGAGGCTGTCCTGGAACTAGCTCTTGTAGACCAGGCTGGCCTCGAACTCACAGAGATCCACCTGCCTCTGCCTCCCGAGTGCTGGGATTAAAGGCGTGCGCCACCAGCGCCCGGCTCCTTTATTTCATTTCTTAATCTGTTTATTTCCTGTAACACAGGACTGTGCTCCATTCCATTTCCTGATGCCCCTTTTCCCTCAATCTGTACATTTTGTTTTTTATTTTTACTTGCTCAGCTTGCTCCCTTTCATTATAAATCTTCCTAAGAGTGAACGCTAGTTAGGCGCAGGTAGCACACACTTTTAATCCCAGCACTCAGGAGGCAGAGGCAGGTAGATCTCTGTGAGTTTGAGGCCAGCCTGGTCTACAGAGTGAGTTCCATTACAGGCTCCAATGCTATAGAAAAGCCCTGTCTCAAACAACAAAACAAACAAATGACAAAAGAAGAGTGAACACTAGTAACCACATGACAGAATCTAAACTAACCTCTTTTAACATTTCTTCTGCCAACAGAATTAATCCAAATCTCTTCACTTTAGCCTCAGGCAAACTCTTCAAACAAAGGCAAAGAGCAGTCAGCCACTTTTTTCACATATTAACATTCTGCTCCTCTGAAACCTCTTGATCCAGAATGCATAGTTCAAAGCACCCTCAGCACCACTGTCTTCAGTGTTCCTATTAGGATGCCCCATTAAGCTCCACTTAAACATTCAGCTGCTTTTCTAATCCACAGTCCCAAAGTCTATATTCCTCCAAACAAAAGCATGCTCTGACCTACCACAGCAATACCCTACTCCCTGGTACCAACTTCTGTCTTAGTTTGAATTTCTATTGCTGTGAAAAGACACCATGACCACAGCAACTTTTATAAAAAGAAAACATTTAGTTGGGGCTGGATTACAATTTCAGTTTAATCCATTACCTTTGTGGTGAGAAGCATAGCAATATGCAGGTAGACATGGTTCTGGAGAAGGAGGTGAGAGTCCTACATCTTGATCTGCAGGCAGCAGAAGACTGCTTGCCACACTGAGCATAGCTTGAACATGTAAGACCGCAGAGTCGGTCTCCATAGTTACACACTTCCTCCAAAATGCCACACTTCCTAATAGAGCCACTCTTTATGAGCCAAGCATTTAAGCACATGAGCCACACTTATTCAAATCACCACAGCCATTAACTGCTTTTCTCCCTTAGTAGTAGTTTGCTTAGCACCTTGCAGCTCCACAAAAACTGTCATTCAGGTATGAAGTTTTCAAGTCAATACCAGCTTGTATTCTTTATGTCCTATGACCAAAGTGTGGGCTGTCTTCAGCAAAAGGGTCTTATCAAATTTTGCTGGGTAACCAAGGGCAGTGACAATAGCTTACATTGTTTTCGACATTTCTGGCTCCTGCTTTAACCAATAACTTAAAGGAAAACATCACACACCTGGCATGGGATTTTACTTAATAATCTGAAGCTTGTGAGAAGAGCATTATTTCCCCCTCCCCTATACAACATGTATTGTCTTAGTTAGGGTTTCTATTACTATGATGAAACACCATGACTAAGAAATAAGTCGGGGGAGGGGATGATGAAAGGGTTTATTTTGTTTGCATATCCACATTATTGTTCATCATTGAAAGGAGTCAGAACGGGAGCTAACAGGAACTTAAGCAAGACAGGAGCCTGGAGGCAGGAACTGATGCAGAGGCCATGGAAGAGTGCTGCTTACTATCTTGTTCCTCATATCTCGCTCAGCCTTCTTTCTTATAGAAGCCAGGACCACCTGCCCAGGGATGGCACCACTGACAGTGGGCTCAGTCCTTCCCCATCAATCACTAATTAAGAAAATGCCCTACAGGCTGCTAAAGTGTGGTTTTATGGAGCCAATTTTAAAATTAGGATTCCCTATTCTCAGATGACCTTAGCCCATGTCAAGCTGACTGAAAACTATCCAGCATACATACAATGTGGAGTACAGACTGTTTGCTCTCTCTCTCTCTCTCTGTGTGAGAGTGAGTATGTGAGTTTTTCAAGACAGGGTTTCTCTGTGTAGCCTTGGCCATCCTGGAACTCACTCTGTAGACCAGGTTGGTTCAAACTCACAGAGATCCTCCTGCCTCTGCCTCTGCCTCTGCCTCACAAGTGCTGTGATTAAAGGCCTGCACCACCACCTCCCTGCTTGTTTATATTTTTAGTAAATTGATAAAATAGTTTGCTATTTATTCTTTTTGTTTGTTTGTTTGGTTTGGGTTTTGGTTTTCTCTAGACAGGGTTGCTCTTTGTAGGTCTAGCTCTCCTGGAACTTGCTCTGTAGACCAGGC